ATCTTCATTCGTGAAGTTCGAGCGTGTGTTCGGCTTAAAATTTGAATATTTGCCGCGACAATATTTGAATTAAAACGATGATATAAAATATAAATACATTAGTTTTATACAAGGCTTATATTTGACCAGCCTGTAAATCATATTATATTTATTGTAAATGCCAAATAGTGTAGAACTTTGTGTATCTGACAAATTGCCAGATTCCAGTGTTTCTTGTATATAATAAAATAATATAGATGCCTGCTCAATCCTCAAACAAACATGCTTTGAGAGAATTTATCAACTTGTTTCAAATCAACTGCTACTTTCATAGCAAAGGTGTTGATGTTTTTTGTTTTAAATACAAATTTTACTCCAATGAGCACAATTTTCAGCACATGGTTGAATAACATCTTGCCTGATGCTGGACAATTTTATTCATCAAGGGAAGTGTCTATAGCCAGTCCCTTCTCATGTTTCCGGCATATTTTTAAAGATGGAATTTTCACTCCATCACCTTTTAATACCTACGAAGCAATTTTCTTTTATGTTACCTACTTCAAGTTCTTTGTAGGGATGTACAGGATAGAGTCGTTTTGCTATCCAGCCAGATACAGGATATATGTTGAATAGTTGAAAAATATCCAGCCAGATTCCGGTTATTAGGAGCCGATTACATGGACCAGCCAAACCTGGCTAGCCCGATTACTATAATAATCTCATATAAATTTTGAGTTTCAATTACATGGCAGCCGGGCCAGTCTGCTTAGCCAGGAATCCTGGCTGTCGCAACCGAGCTGGCCAGGCTGAAATTCGCTATGTAATTGCTTCAGCCGAGCATACCGGGCTGAAAATTGCAAACACATGGTTTTTATTTTGAAATTATTAACAAATAATAGCACAAAAACCACAAATTTGCACTAAAGTACTGCTTTTGAGCATTAAATAAACCCTTAAACGTTTTAGATAGCCTAGTGAATCGACTGGATTTACTGGAGCATAAGCGAAACAATACCTAATATAAATACATCAACGAATACTAATCACAATATAGGGAAGCCCTAAAATTCCGCATATAAACACTCTTTAGTTATAATATCCGGCAACGATTATTCAAGTATTAAAACTTTTCAATATAATGAGCTTACTTCAACCCAGTTAACCGGGCAGGCACACTACATGTAATTGTAAATTAAAAGTCATCTCGCTCAGCTGTCCAATCAATGAAGCTTTATTAAAAAATACATAAATAGGTAACATGGTGTCCTTTCACTAAAGTGCTCTTCCAAGGAGCCATGTAAAAATACAAAAAACAAAAGAAATTAGCTAAATATATATACAATCCTATCATATTTACTACTACTTAATCTTAGTATTAAATTTGAAAGTTAGAAAGTTTATTTTTGAAAAGATATATTGAAGCCTGACTTCTTATTTCATCCGGAAGATCGTTCCATAACACAGCCCCACGGAAGCCGAAGCTCCTTTTACCAGCCTCCGTTCTGGGTCTAGGGGTGAACATACTGTACGAACTACCTCTAAGATTGTGAGAGTGGACTTGCGAGGTAGGTTCAAAAATAGTATTAAGCTCGTTGGGATATAAATTATTCACTGCTTTATAAATACTTGTTGCGAGCTGTTTAGCACGACGTTGGTCAAGAGTTTCCCAACCAAGACTGTGTAGTATATCAGCTGATCTTACGTCATAATCGGAGAAGGTTATTATCCTACCGGCTCTGTTTTGCAGTTTTTGGAGTTTTTCAGAGAGGGTTTTACCTAGGCAGCCCCAAACCTCACTACAATAGTCTGAGTAAGGTAACACTAAGGCTTTATACATCAGGATCAATGTGTTTTGGGGTACAAAAGTTCGAATCCGCTTTAACGCCCCAAGACTTGCACTTATCTTCTTACAAATGGTTTCAATATGTACTTGCCAATTTAAAGATTCATCAATTTCAAGTCCCAAGTATCTATAAGAATACATTCTTTCTATAGACTGTCCATTAATTTGAATGTTAAAGCGATAATTCAGATTACTTAATCTCGCTTGGCTTCCTAGGATTAAGAATTTTGTCTTCTTTACATTCAGAGTAAGCTTATTAGCCCTTAGCCACGTTTGCACTTTTCTAAGTTCGTTATTTAGTTTAAGCTCTAGGTCTTTTGGATCGTTAGAACTAACAGTTAAACATGTATCATCAGCATACATCATAAGGGACGATGTAGAGAGGCAGGCTTGAAGATCATTAATATAAATTAGAAACAATAAGGGCCCAAGCACCGATCCCTGAGGAACCCCACAAGTAACAGGTAGCAAGCTAGACAATGTGCCATTAATGCTTGTGCATTGTTTGCGACCTGTTAGATATGATCTAAACCAATTGATAGAATTAGGATCTACGCCATACATCTCAAGCTTCTTTAATAAAATTGGATGGTTCACGGTATCAAAGGCTTTTTTTAAGTCTAGTAATAGAATTCCATTAAATAGCCCTTTATCAATATTTTGGTACCAATTGTTGGTAGATATTAGAAGAGTCGTAAGCGTTGAATGTAATGGTCTAAATCCATGTTGGGAACTAGACAATAGATTATTATCGATTAGGTACCATAAAACTGAGAGAAAACGATCTTTTCAATAATTTTACTGACAATCGGTAAGATAGATATTGGTCTATAATTATCAGGATCTGATTTTGTGTCTTCTTTATATATTGGCATTACCCTAGCTCTTTTCCAATCATTGGGAAATACCCCATTTCTTATGGATAAGTTTATTATATGGGTTAAGGATGAAAAAACAATTGGCGAAGCTTCTTTTAATAGCTTGCATGATATCTCATCTAAACCAGTAGATTTATTTACAGGAAGTGATCGGATCAAGTTGTACACAATTGTATTATTTGTCTCAGTGATAGAAAAATTATTATCGGTAGTGGTAATATATTGCTCAAAGTTAGAGTTTGAGGTGGGAACATTATTAACTAATTTAGGTCCAATTTGAGTAAAGTGGTTATTAAAAGCATTACTTATGTCACTTGAAGAAGTGTAGTTACAGTCACCAACTTTAATGCTGCTTATTACATTGGCATGGGAATTTTTACCCATAAGCTCATTCACACCTTTCCATGTGTTTTTAATATCACCAAAGCTATTTCTAAAGTAATTGTGATAATATGCAGCTTTGGCATCTTGAATACATCTGTTAACATTATTTCGTGCACTTCTATACTTGGACCAGTTGTGTTCATTATCATGTTTACTTGCTATTCTTTTCAGTCGGTCCCTCTCAAACATCAATTTCTTAAGTTCTGGGGTTAACCAAGGAGAGTGCTTATTTCGAATTTTTCTACTCCGTTTGGGTGCATGAATATCAGATATTTTCAGGAATATAGTTTTCCAAGCATCTCAAGCAAGATTTGGATCATTTTCGTACTCCTCAATGATATGCCACGGGGCTAAGCTGAGATCATATCTAAATGAATTTGCGTTGAAATCTCTAAATTGCCTGCTGCGAATTATTCTAGGATCCTTTCTAGATACACAAAGTTTACGAATTGCATATACAAGTGAATGGTCACTAATACCAATGTGGCAAACTCCAGATTTCACATACATTGTTGGATTATTAGTAATAAATAAATCAATTGTAGTTGAAGAGCGTTCGGTTATTCGAGTAGGCTCTTTAATAAGTTGATGGTACTGGTATAAGTTGCAGAGATCCAAGAAATGCTTAGTAGGTGCATTAGGGGGAGAAGCACCTACATCAAAGTTAAAATCACCTATAATATTAATTTCAATATCCAGTACTTCTAACTTCTTAGTTAATAATTCGAGGCTATTCATAATGTCAGTGGTTGAAGAAGGGGGTCTGTACCAAGTACCAACGATGAATGGTTTGGATTTAGGTTTTTGTACCTTGATACATAGCCACTCAAGTGGATCTTGAGCTAAATCATGCATAAGCTCATAATTAATAACATCTCTTATATAAAATGCAATGCCTCCCCCATTTCTATTTCTATCCCTTCTTTCTAAATTATAGCATCCCTTCTTTCTAAATTATAGCCTGGTATGGAAACTAAATTATTTGGAAAAGATTGATCTAAACGGGTTTCATTAACTGCGAGAATGTCTATGCACCCAGAGCACATATATGCCTTTAATTCATCAATATGTGCTGGTAAACTATTGATATTCAAGGCAGCAATTTTGAAGCCTCTAGTATTAGTCATTTCATTCAGTAACCGTTGATCGTTATTATTTTCCCCTGCTTGACCCCGAAAAGAAGCCCCGTCAGCCATCGTGGGCAAGCTTTTATGTATGGAAGGATCTTCCGATAGATTCATATTGCTTATATTCAAATTATATGGATTTGTATCATCTAAGTTATTCAAATTAGTACTATTTGAATTAGTATTATTGGATATATTTTGAATTATGGAATCTGAGCAATCATGTTCAGTGCTTTTGCAAGTCTCCACACAGTGTTCGGAAAATTTTCAGGTTTGGTCATTGATCTCCTATTTGATCCAGGCCTGAGAGATCCATGTAATCGGCCCCTTATTCAAATATATAAGGTCCAGGCCTCATTTAAGGTTAAATAATCATATTAATTGGTTAAAAAGTGATGGTGTTAATAATACTTTGATTTGAAATAATAGGAATGAATTTCACAATCTAATACTGGTAAACATGCATCATTGGTAGTAAAAGCCACACTTGCATTAGTTCGAAGGGCAAGCCTGCATTTACATAAATTTGAAAATAGTGTAAGCATTCCTATGATCAATCATTGGATCAAAATATGATAAACACCCCACCTTTTTTAACCTAATCAAATCATTTTCTAACTTGTAAAGAAGGCCTGAACCTTATATAAATAATATCCAGCATTGGGCGGCCAGGTCTACCATAAAATGAAATGAAGTAAAAACTCAGTATCTGGCCAGATATGATATCCATTGCATCCCTAGTTATTTGTTATCAATAACTTTACTTAATTACTTGTTAAGGAGAGAGTGGTGGATATACATCTATGAGATGACTGTATATTCTTGGTATTCAATTTTCTTATTTAATTAAATATATGCACCATTTGTACCCTTTTATAGTTAACCCTCAGATGTATAATGGCTACCCTTCCACATGCACTGGGAGACAGACAGACCCACCACAACAAGACAGACCCACCACACCCACCCTTTTTGCGATTCTTCATGTAAGTTTACTAATATTTTTCTTTTTGATGTAGGTTAACCCATTGAAACCCATTGCGCCCTGCTTTATTATTTTACTCTCTCTAGCGCCATATGATTTACTTGTCAAGGGGAGAGCTCTGGTGCTTAATGGGTTAAGCATTATTTATATTTTTTACTCTGTAATGCTGTCATGCAATGCCATTGTGAACCAATTGAATCATACTATACCATACTATTAGCATTAATGGTACCAAGATGTGATGGTCTTAACTCTTTAATAATTCAACACACAAGTGGCTGTCGAAACATTAAATTATAACTGTTTGAAGCCACCTGTAAATGATTTCTTGAACTATAACATGTTCCTAGTTTGTAGCATTCAGCTTTGTTATCCATACAATTGCCTGTATACAGTAGTGCTTTAATTTGCAAAATTGTCCATTTTTTAGTAACTATATGCAGGGGAGTGGTTTAGTTTGATTAAATTCAATTTATTATGTCTGACCCCAGGCCTAGAGCAAGTGTCATTTGTGTATTCAAGTTTGATTCAACGTAAAAGAGAATTAATTTTAAACCTCCCTGCCATTGTGGTAAATAATTGTCAGTATTCAAGGTTTCAAAGCAAAAGTTGAGTAGTGTAATTAACTGTTCTAGTAAGAATGGTGTCAGAATTAATAATTGTGAATACTATGCACTGATTAATAAATGCAATATTTTCAATATTTAAAAGTGTATATGTGGGCTAGGACAATTGTAGAGCCCGAAAGCTGTTAAGTAATGGCATAGCCTTATGTCTTTTATACATTTACCTTGAAAATGCATTGTACGGTGCAACAATAAGCGTTATGCATGAATGCGTTTATGCAAAGTACAACGTCTGATTGTGCTTTATAAGCAGCCACTTAGTCGGTGTTGTTCATTTTTAAATGCCACGTCAACATGCTGGAAGGGTGGATTGGAAATCGGTTGATGGAGCTTTTGACAAAACAAGAAGACTGCATTTGCAACAAGACAAGAATCACTTATATCGTTGTCCTGTAAATGGTTGCGAACACCCTGGATTTAGCAGTTGTTGCGGTTGCAGGAAGCATGTTTACGAAAAGCACGCTTGGTATAAATATTTCGATCAAAAACCTATTGTTATTTCAAATACTGTTGAAGAAAAAGGCAATGTAATCACATCAAAAACCAAACATACAATTCCTTGTTGTTCTACGGAAAATGATTTATGTCGTTCCCTTTCGGTGTAGTTACAAAGAACGGCTGGGGGCGGCAAGTCTGAAAAGCAATCACAAATTTCAGTGACAAGGGCTCTCAAGTTTATAACAATTTGTTGTTCTGAAACGGGCGAGGACGAATTGAATGCGACTTCGTCTTTAGAAATTATAGATTATTTTCTTGGTTCTTCGAAGTTGTTAACGGGTTTCCTTGATTATCTTCAGGGTACTTGGAAAATGGGAAATTCCGGCCAATTAGGTTACATAACAAGCATATCTGAGCTGTTAGATTTTCGAAAGTTTAACTCTCCCTCGGGCGCCGTACTGCAAAATTTCTCTGTTACTGAAGTTTACATCAAGAGAGCAAAGAAATGTTTGTCAAAAGTAATGAGGTGGCACTGGACGACAGATCTTGACATGGAAACACTTGAACCAAGACGGAGTTGGGCAAGCTTAGCCGAACTCCAAACTGTGATACCTTTCCATATACCACGTTATAAGACTATATTGAACGAATGCAAAAACAAATCACCTGTTGTTAGCGCAACGAATCTTACATTTGCTACCCGATTCCTAGCAGTATTTATGTTTTTTTAAAGTTAAAGGCTGTAGGCCTATGACGTATCTGCATTTGACGGTTAGCATGTTTGAGAGTGCAAAAAAAATAAAGGAATGGTCGATCAAACCACATTCAAAACTGCCAAAAAGTATGGCTTTGATTCCTTATATTTTGACGAAATTAGTTTGGATGTTGTTGACAATTACGTTCGCTATGTTAGGCCATTGCTGCAACCAAGGTGCGACTATTTGCTCGTCAATCGTAATGGCATTCAATTTCAAAAATTAACAGAAATCTTAAGTATATTAGTCTTTCAGGCAATCGGAAAATACGTTCATCCCACAAGCTACAGGCAAATCATTGAAACTGAAAGTGTGCAAATCCTCAATGTAGAGGAGCAGAAGTTGGTTTCTGAAGATCAAAAACACAGTTCGAATGTCGCTCGAGTCCATTATCAGAAATTGCGTTCTCGAGATGTAGCTATCAAAGGGCGAACATGTATGGAAAAATTGCGTGCAGAAATGGACACTTGCGTTGAACAGTTAAAACAAGAACATTGTTCCGGACACCAATAAAAAAGTTATTACGAAACCACTCCCATACCACAAACAACGACAGAAAAGGTTTCTGCCGAGAAACGCAAACCCCTGAGATTCACGAGAGAAGAGGATCAATTTATAGAATGGGGAATTAAAAGATTTGGTGCACGATGGTGCACAATCCTACGGCATCCAGAATATAACTTCCAACCTGGTAGAGAAGCTAGGACACTTAGACTTCGTGCAAATCAACAAAAACTTATCTAGTGTATTTCACTCATGTACCTTGTAAATATAAATTTGCTTTGTGAATAGTTGAATAAAATTTGTGAAGTTCTATTCCTTATTTATTTATTTCTTAAACGATTCCACGCAAAAGTTTAATTTCTCGGTTGCCTTATTTTCTATTCCTGCGACTATAACACGTATAATATGTTTGCTTTGAAAATAGTTGATCAGTCCAATTTATAAATCATGTTGAAGCATAAAGTTTTCACAAACCGCAAATTCATGTAAGGTATAATCTCTTTCATATACAACAGTGCAATTCTCGTCAATATATAATATACTTCATGGAGAACAACACAATATATTACTGCTCTTCACTATGTTATAATAGTTAGTATCGACATCGATTGAAATTTCTTCATACAATACAGATCAAATAATCGAAAACTGACTTTGCTGAGAAAAGGTTGCATGCTAATTATTGGGCAAAACTTTTGGGTTTAGTTCCGAAAATAGGAACGTATATTCTTGTTCCTATCTCGCGTTATATTGCACTTAAAACTTTAGTTCCGAAAATGGGAACGCGTTTTCGTTCCTTTCTCGTGCAACGGAACGAATGGTTCCTAAAGTGTAAAAAGGAATGACCTGTTCCGCTTTAGTTTGTTCCTTTATAAAAGGAACAGAGTTTTTGTTCCCCCAAACAATGACGGCACTAAACGTTCCGCTTCATATCGTTCCGAAAACCAAAACAAGTCAGATAAACATATACGCCCAGAATTTAGTTTGCCTCGTTTGTTCCGCTAATGAAACTAACATTGCAATTTTCTGTCCCATAACAAAATAGGTAATAATATTCATACTTATCAACGACGATTAGCGTTAAAAGCCAACAACTAAATTGTACTAAATCAAAAAACATCACTTAAAATTGCACAAAATATATGGAAATGTTGATGACCAAAGTAAAATATATTGTTCCACTTCGTTGCTATGCAAATGAAGATACTTCCAAACGCTTAAAAATCACACACGATTTACGAAACGCCTGTTTTTTAAAGTATATTACATCATCATTTTGAAAATGCCACCGCGACCTTGCAAGCAATTAGACTCGAAAAGGATCGAGGATTCACTTCGAGCAGACATTTTGCCATTGGTAAGTTTATTGAGCAAACTTAATTCATTGTAGTGGCCCTGTGGTCAATAATAGCATGTTATGCAGCTGAATTCACGGCAATTCATGCAGTCAATTTATTCAATTCGTCTAGATCACCGAACAGTTGGAAGCGATAGCATGCCGTGCTGTTTGGAGAGTTCGGGAAACAGACATTGACATCGCAAGAAATCATATCGCTTCAAAGCGACTTCGCCTTGACCAAGTGATTTCTTTAAAGAACGGCGTTCTATTCTTTTTTCCTGCGTTACAAGTGTCATGTGTACTACTTTTCAAGACAATCTCAAGTTCACCAGTCATGTGCGAGGTAAATTGGTCAAAGCAAACAAATGCTTGTACGTTATACGAACACTCAGGGCAGAAGACTATAGCCAATGTGAGATAGATTATCTATTTAAGACCCTAGTAATATTTACTATAACGTTTGGCCTGTCCGTCTACGGTTCTTCTCCAGCCGAACTCAATACTCTACAACGTTTTTTTGACAGATGTTTTAAGCGAAAGTATATATCAGAACCTGTAAATATTAGATATCTTTTAGAAATACAAAACAGAAATATTTTTAAAGCTTCTGTAAATCAGAAGAGTGCCATAGTTGACTTGATACCAAGAAAAAAATCCACAAGCTACTCTTTGAGGACAGAGTTTAGTCAGTATCCAAGAATGAACACGGAACGTTTTAAATTGTCGTTTGCAAATAGATTAATTTTTAACTATAACCTATTCATATGATGTAAACTTTACTAACGTATTCTTAATATTTACTTGTAACAAAAGATATGTATTTTTATCTTTTGATCTAATAAAAAGACTTTTGAATTGAATTGAATTGAACGAAACAAGTTACACGCCTGAATGCTACTCAGCGATTGCCTACTTCGTCGTATACAAGGAATGCGCAACTTGCAACGAGAAGATCTTGTTTTCCACCACTCACGACGAAGAATTAGATGCAGAGGTAACGCGAATTCGAGTGCGAAAATCATCCGATAGCAATAATGAAATGGAAAAAGCTGCAAAACAGTTATTCCAAGTGGTCAAGGATCACAGCAACAATACCATCCAGGAGATGCTCCAAATATCAAACGCGTATTGCTACAAGAATTCCGAGGGAACGCCGTCAGATGATGATGAAGAGGATTATGAACCCAAGTTTGTTTCAAATCATTTCCCCAATGTCCCCTGCTGTATAATCGTCGTAAACGAAAGCGAGTTTGGGGATCGTGTGGCTACAGCAGTTACAAAGCTGGAATCAGACGGACTTGTTGTTGATCTCGGTAACGCATGCGTTGTAAAGTTGGACAATCCACCGTTCTCATCCAACAACGATGTCGCCGCCTTGATAAACAACATCGATAAATGCATGAAGTTATACGACCACGCCTTATATCGTTCAGAAATTTACACCAAACCAGAGGGGTCAAATTTAACGTTTGTAAAAATGATGGATGTAACTAGTTACTTGCATAAACTTCTGGCTAACGAAGTGTTGCGTGACAAGCTGATTCAGCATTTTCAAGCGGTCGATAGACTTCTGTCTCATCCAGCATGCGCAATAATTCAGTAGATCAAATTTGACGTGGATCTCATTGAAGTATCAAACGGGTACTGTTTCTCGATCAAAGCCCGAAAGTTCATCGTCTGTCCTATCCCGGAATCCATGCGTGGAAAACTGTCGCCAAGATCTTTTGTTCCATATGACAGTTCCAAACCGCCGAAGCCTGGGTATTTTCGAGAAGGCATTGTCAACTCCTTTCCTGATGACGACGTGCGAGTACGGTTCCTGAATAAACTCTATCAGTGCCTGCGCGCGTTCAGCATGCCCCACAAGGTGAGGAAATTGGTATTGGTTGGCCCCAAAGATTCGGGCAAAACATCTTGGTCCAACATATTCCATCGTGTTATTCCCGCCAGCTACATTGCGTCGCTCACAAACGAGAGACAATTTTCTGCGGCTATGATTAACAACGAAACTCAGCTGGTCCTCGTGGACGAGTGGTCGGCGAGCACGATGCAATCCGACCTTGCCAAATGCATCCTTCAAGGCGGATGGATGGTCTCTGCGGCAAAGCACGGCCTATCAAAGACGGTATTAAATAATAGCCCCTTCTACATCACCACAAATAATCTAGCTCCCGAATTTTGGTAAAGAAGAAGACGATAACGTGAAGCGCAGAATTGAGATATTCACAACAACGTCATTGCCTCAAACTCTACCGGGAATCGACAAGTGGATTTATGACCACGCGATGGGTTGCATTGCGTGGATAGCGGAAGAAATCAACGCAAACCGCGAGCACATCGATCGACATGAGCTCTGGTACGAGCCCAATCACTCTGGACCGTTGACGATTGCTGCAAACGAGGGAAAGTCTGTTCAGTGACGAACACGTGCCACGCATATCCAATGCTGATTTGCGCGAGGAGGTGGATGTCCACCACCTCATATATAATGGTGGGTGTCCACCACCTCATATATAATTAATATTCATACAAAGGAGGATGCGTAAGGCTGCGCTAATTAATATTCACACAAATCAGGGTGCGTAATGACGTCACTCATTAACATACGTCATAATTATATGCAATGACGTCACGCGGGCAGGTTTAAACACAATCGGGCGAAACTTGCTGACTACGCATTTTTCAGCGTCCTCGCTCGTTAAAAAGATCAGAAAGAAATACGTTTATCTTTGCCAGATTGAGCCATAAGGCCGTCCAATACGATAAAATTCCGTTGCGATACGTCCAAGTAATCTGCGTTTTCGATGTCTTCGGGGATGCCTTGATTAAACTCGATTCCAGGCATCGTTCTCATCATATCAAAATAGGAGGGTTGCCATTGACCATAACACCAAATGATACGTTGAGGAGCAGGACTTATAGTTTTCTGTGCATTCTCCAAGAGAGATTTTACCCACACAGTCTTGCCGCTTTGGGTACACCCAGCTACGATACATGTGAAAGGATGCTGCAAAACTGTAGATCCTGCTGAGATTTCAACTGGTTTGCTTTGAACATTTCCATGGGTATTCAAAGTATGACGCTTGAGGTTGCCGCGTGTTGAAAATACTTTGGCACATATATTGCACGGAAAGGACATGTTCACACCACGAACGTCTAGCTGGAAGTGATATTAAGTTGGCGTATTCGTTCTATATATTCATTAATGCATCTATCCAGTATTATTCTGTATCTTTATTTTCCTTCTCTTTATCTTCCTTATCTTTATCTTTATATTCTTTATCTTTATCTTCTTTATCTTTATCCTTATCTTTATCTTCCTTATCTTTATCCTTATCTTAATCTTTATGATCTTTATCTTTATCTTCCTTATCTTTATCCTTATCTTTATCCTTATCTTTATCTTTATCCTTATTTTAATCTTTATGTTCCTTATCCTTATCTTTATCCTTATCCTAATCTTTATGTTCCTTATCCTTATCTTTATCTTCCTTATCTTTATCCTTATCTTCTTATCTTTATCTTCTTATCTTTATCTTCCTTATCTTTATCCTTATCTTTATCCTTATCTTTATCTTCTTATCTTCCTTATCCTTATCTTCCTTATATTTATCCTCTTATCTTTATCCTTATCTTCCTTATATTTATCCTCTTATCTTCCTTATCTGACATGCACAAGGAGCCAAGTTCGATAAGCTCAGAATCGAACTCTCGATAACTCGGAGCCGTGTATAAATTGCTTTCTCTCTTCCGATATAAGCTTCCTTATTGTTGTGTTTTACTCATTTGCTTCCAAACCGTCGAACAGAAATGATCAATCTTCTAAGGCACAAGCCATTTCTTGAATTGTTGGGCACGTCTGAGCCTGATCAACAACAAGCACTACTGGAAACAGCAACCGCCGAGCAAGTACACTGCCTGTGTCTCTGTGTAGAAAACGTTATGAAAAGAAAATATTTAATGCCTAAGCATGTAATGAAGAAACTCCGACCTTACAAACATGAAATGCTTAGGTTGGTAGATAGAGGAAAATGTGGAAGAAGAAAAAAACAGATACTCGTTCAACATGGTGAAGGTTTCCTTGGACTATTACTAAGTCCTATTTTGGAAAGCCTGGCTGAACTTGTATAAAAGCCCTGTGACTTCAATTTATACATCATTTCAACAATGAACATCGAGAGTAAAACATCTCCGCGACATTGGCGCATTGAAGATATACTTTTGTATCTGAACAATAATGTCAAAAAAACTACAGCAGAAAATATGCTACATTCTATTCTTATATCACGTGATATTTTAACTTGGAATCCTCAGGGTGAGATTGTTTATCATGGAAGAGACATTCCTGGTACTAACATCGAGAACTTTTTACAATACGCACTTTTACCATACAACTCTCACATTCCTGAACCACGAGGGCTCGACCTGTTTACAAAAGGTCTAGTAGAAGCAGGGGTTAATAAAGATTTAATTAAAAAGGAGTATTTATTGTCAAAAAGGGCAAAGGAGGAACATGAAATACCACAATCTGAGAGTGATGTTGAAAGCGAATCTGGTAATTCAGTTCTGGTAATTCAGTAATCTGGATTTTCAGTTGGAACAGCTCCTGTTTCTAACGATTTCAACTCTTTCAGTCTACAAAAGGACAAAAATTCAATTACTAGACTAGTATTTAAGATACATTCAATATATAATCCGCCAATATTTCAACCATACACAATAAGACAAAGGCCGAGCAATTACAATATTTCGCTCAAAGATAAAAAGTCCGTACTTACAATCAGATGTCAATTCTTCTTTGAAATGACGCTCACATAGGAAAATC